ATTTGACCCAGCTATTCCTCTGCTGGGGATCTTCCCCAAAGAATTAAAAGAATCATACCACAGTAATATGTGTGCGCCCATGTTCATAGCAGCACAATCTGTAATAGCCAAAAGTTGGAAGCAGCCCAATTGCCCATCAACCGGAGACTGGAGAAAGAAAATGTGGTTTTTAAATAAAATGGAGTACTACTCAGCCATAAAAAGGAGAAATTAGAGACATTTGTTGCTAAATTGATGCACATTGAGGTGATACTCTTAAGTGAAATAAATAGGACACACGTGTAAATACCGCATAGTTCTCTAGTGTGAGAAACTAAAAGTGTAAATAAGGACTAAAAAATATAATAGCTAGTGTGAAATAGGAAGAAAAAGGGCAAAGGGTAAGGGGAAGTGGAAGGGATAGGGAAAAGGAAAGAAGGGAATGGAATTAATATGAGAAAATGTAAAAATGAAACTAAGTCTTCGTAAATAGGGAGGGATGGAGAGGTTGAAGGGAGGGCAGGGGAATGGGGAAAAAATAAGAACCAAGAGAGATTATGTAAAGTTGCAAATTTCCAATAAAAAAAAGAAAAAATGTCGCCTCCCACAAGAGGTTCCTGGTACAAAAAATGTTGGGAACTACTGCTCTATTGGATCCCAGGTACTTGTATATATTGAGATTTTGAGCAGCAAAATAATCAAAGTATGTTTTAGAACTAAAGACAAGCTGGGGGGTTCAAAAAGCAATTGTGCCACCCTCCTGCCTCATAAAAATCTAAGCCACAACTATAAATTTACAAAAAATGACCAAAAAGCATTTTTGATAGAGCTCCTGAAAGACAAGAGGAATGAAGGAAGAAATAAAGTGAGACCAAAATCACCATCATTCTGCCTCCATCTCTTTGCTATGTGATTGCTATGCAGTACATGTTTTTGTATTTACAGCATTAAGTTGAGGTACATGGCACATGGGAAAAGATGGCTGAATGTACATATTTAGATTGTTAAATACTATAATCCTCCAGGTTTGTCTGATTTAGTTTCTTTTCCAAATGTGTTGGAACTGTTCCCTGGAACCCTGAAGGGACAGACTACAGTTTTATTGCTGAATTGGAGAAGAAAAGGAGAAAGGTTAATGCCATGATGGAAATCTCTTCAATTCCTTCATTTAGGCTGTGTATTAAGAGCTTCATTTCCCAATGAAGTAACTTTAAGAGTATCTCTAAACTGTAAATGGTTATCTTCTTATTCCTTTCAACCATTCTTCTAACTGAAAAATGTTACTTCCTATTCTACTTAAAATGGAATCATTTGAGTTTTCCTGCAATATTTACTATCATATATTATTTTGGATCTCTATTAAGATATGTACTGAAACTTTGGCATTAAAGCACGGATTTCATCTGTACCATGCAAAATAGTCTCATAAACAATCAATACACAATCAAAGAAGGACTGCAAGACAATGTCCATCTGTTTAATTTTATAAATATAATTTTTGAGTTTTAGTTTAATCTTACCATATCAGCTTATGTGAATCCCTTATTGCATTTGAGCTTTAATTTCTTCATTTGTAAAATGTAGATAACCAAACCTGTTATGAGGGCAAAATCATAAACATAAATTAAATGGCTGCATTGCAAGAAGTGCCTAATGCCAACAAACTGTGAAGACCTGCACATACAATAGTCTCCTTCAGGTTTCTCAGTTTACATGAAGATTCAGTAAAAAGAACATTCCATCACAACAATGAAAAAAAAATGCTTTTCTGAGGAGGTTCTTTCAGTCAATTATAGTTGTTTCCTCTTTTAGAGTTATAAATGTATTGAAAAAATCAGATCAACTATTTTATTTTGGTTATAAGAAGTGAGTTTCTTGAATAAAGGTTTCTTAATTATTAAAGGTTTGTGTTTGTCAGTTTTCCATCACTATAATAAATGTTCAAGATAATAAACTTAAAAGACAAAGGGTTTATCTCCACTCACAGTTTTAGAAGGTCCAGTCTGTGATCAAGCAGATCCATTGCTTTTAGGCCTCTGGTGGGAATGCCAGATGGTAATTGGGAGGGTGCAGGGCATGGCCAAGCAAAACTGCATGGACAGGGAGTAAATGGAGAGGCCCCTTTAAGGGCAATGGGGCCCCTTTAAGGTCCCAGTAACCCAAAGACCTCCCAGTAGGCCCCACCTCTCTGAAAGTTTCCACTACCTCCCAATAGTACTTCAGTGTTTACCACGTGGACCTTCAGGTAACATTTACAGTCTAAAGTTTATTGAAATTATAACATTACTGTCTCCAGCTGCTGTACCGCCTGGAACAAGATTGTTTCCCTCATGCTCGAGTTAAACAACGATTTTTTTTTTTTGGTACCGGGGATCGAACTCGGGTCCTTGTGGTTGTGCAGCAGGCGGTGAAACCACTCAGCTAAATCCCTGGCCCTAAACAATGATTTAGATGTCAGAAGTATAGAAGAAGGAAAGAAAGAGAGAGAGAGAGAGAGAGAGAAAGAAAGAGAGAGAGAAGAGAAAGAGAGGAAGGGAGAGAGGAAGGAAGGAAGGAAGGAAGAAAGAAAGAAAGAAAGAAAGAGAAAGAAAGAAAGAAAGAAAGAAAGAAAGAAAGAAAGAAAGAAA